TGCAAGCAGCGTGCCGCAAAGAGAATGGAGACGGCCCAGATGGGAGAGCTCATTCTGAGCAAACCCGTGAACAGTCCCGTGAGAGCCTAGAGTCTCTTGTATACTCTCTGGCTGCCTTTGCACCGCATTTGATCCCCAATACTGAAAACAGTCTTATTGGCATACCCCAAATATGGACATTTATTTTGGTGGGCAGATCGCTGGTTCCCATCCTTCCAGGATTTTCTGTATCTTCTCTGTGTGGAAGGCCTAAATTCAAGCAGACATTATGTTTTTCTCTTTCCGAAAGATGACTGTAAAATATATAGGGAGATAACAAAGAAATCTGTAGAACCAAGCAAGGGCATAAGAATTAAGAATGACGTTAGGTAAAGCATTGTTTGCTTTGGGTCATAGTTGTTTTGTTTGTTAATTTTCTGTCTTTGAGACAATTCAGGCTGGCCTTGACTCACTTTGTACCCCAGGCTGGCCTTGAACTTGAAGTGAGTGATCCTCCTGCCTCAGCCTCCCAAGTGCTGGGATTACATATGTGCACTATGGTATAGAGCTCTGAGTTTTCCTTATAATGACATTTTTTTTAATGAGCCTAATAACTCAATTTTTTGAGATTCCTACAATGGCTGCTACCAACATTAAGGAATAAAAGTAAAAATAGGACTGTACCTTGATCTTTTTTTACAGATAATCCTATAAGGTATTATTTACTTAGATTTGGTGTAATACGGCCAAAGCAATGTGAAGTTAATATTAATTAGACCAAAATAAATGTCCATATTTGGGGTATGCCAATAAGATTGTTTTCAGTATTGGGGATCAAATGCGGTGTTCACCCTGAGCTACATCCCCAGCCCTTTTTATTTTGAGGCAGGATATCGCTGAGCCACTCAGGCCCTCAGGCTAAGTGCAAGCTTGGGGTCCTCACATCTTGGTCTTCTGGAGTACTGGGGTTACAAGTGTGCATCCCCAAGCCTGGCTAATACATTTTTTAAGCTTTATTTTTTTTATTTTTTTTTTATTTTTTAATTTTTTTTTTAGCTTTATTTTTTCAAAAAATTTAATTAGTATATGTTTGTAGTATATAATAATTGCATTTAGGCTGAGGAGATAGCTCAGGAGCATAAGTGGCTGCCTGGCAACTGCAGGCTCTGAGTTCGATCCCTGGTACAAAAAAAATTATAATAATTACATTTATCACATGGAGTTACTACTTGTACTAATGTGTCTTTGTTTGCAGGGGCAGGGAGGGTCTACAGGGTGTTAAGGTTCTTGCTACTAGATCAGACTCCTAGTGATCTGCCTGTTTACAGCCTCTGAAGAGCTGGGATTACAGGTGTGCGCCACCACATCCAGTCTCTATAGCTGTCTCAGCGCGCCCCAGGGGTGGGACCAACGGCAGGCCCGGAGATTGAACCCCCGGCCCCTGC